GGCTGCAGCCAGCTCCTTCAGCTGCTGGTAGCAGGGCTGGACTGGCTCAGCCGTGGGCCTATTCCTCTGTCAGAGAGGTCCCAGGTAGTAGCAATGGGCAGCACAGCCTGTCACTTCTCGGGGAGGCAGGGTGAGGAGGTAACCAGGAGTCAATGGAAGATTCGAGCACCATAGATTCATAGACTTCATAGACTTTAAGGTCAGAAGGGAACCAGGACTCCTGCGCCCAGCACCAGATCTTGTGAAGCACTGGAAGGAGCTGGTACACCCTTATTTGGGGGCATTTGCCTCCCCTTGCTCAGCAAACGTGATCTGAGGTAGTGGAGGGTTTTTGTTTCTCAAGGACTTCCAACCACCAAGGCCAGAAACTGCACCTGGCCAAGCGCCCATGGACTCCTGGAGATGCCTCTGGCCTTCGCTCCTGCCACTTTTGTGGAAGCCCAAGCCAGACTCACCCAAGTTTTGCACCAATCCTGCCCGCTCCAGCGCCTTGAGCATTCAGCCCCTTGGCCTGGTACGTGCATCTGTCCAGTGCATTTGCAGCATGGCCAAAGGTTGGGGGCAAACAGGAAACAGCCTTGCTGGTAATCCCAGCACCACAGAGTAGCTGTGGCTTGGCAGGTCTTACAGCCGCCCCCAGGAGAAGCAGTTCTTTGGAGCATGGGGGGAGGAGGGGGTAATTCCCACCTGAGAGACATCCCTGCGTAAGCCCAATTGGAAGTGGCTTTGGCGCGAGCAGTGGAAGGAGCTAGCTGCTCCGCATACATACCAGTGTCCGGACAGGACCATCCTCCCATGGCCTGCCCTGCCCGCCCTCCAGGCTTAGCCCGCGAGTGCGATCAGAACGAGGGCAGGAGTCCCAGCCCGGCTCCACTGGGCGCCAGCCCCTCGGCCACTTACCTGAATGCACTCCACATTCAGGATGAACTTGGGGATCGCCGCCGGCATGGCCCGCTGATAATAGATTCTGTGGACCACGTGCTGCAGGAGAGGCTCCACAGGAGTGACGCTCTGCAGAATGACCCCGCGGCCCAGGAAAGCGTGCTCAAAGGTCAGGAAGACAAGCCCCGGCCCCACCTTCAGAGAGAGAAGGAATCCGCTCAGTCCCTTCTGCATGCAGGAAAGACAGTGGGGGTCATGGGAGGGGGGCAAAGTTACACCCTTTCGATGAGGATTCCCCATTTATAATTACACCCAAGACCTATTTTTCATTATGCTGTTTCTTACACCACCAGCCAGCACCTCGTCCAAACCTTTACAGGTGTCTGTTAAAGCAAACTCCTCAACCAAACTTGTAATAGACAAGGTCTATTTTCCGTCAACTCCTATTGACTGGGAATGATTCCCAGCCTTTAATGCTTTATTAATCAAGTCCCATATCAGCCATTCCATTATTTTGCCAAGGATCTACGTCAGGCTGACCTAGAATTACTTCAGTCATGACCATTTATCCTTTAGCTTTTCTTCAGTCCTGTGGAATTTCCCCGCTGCTCCATGCAAACCATCTGTTTCTCCCGTAAGTTTAGACATAAACAAACGCAGTCGGTGCTGTGGAATTTCCCCACTGCTCCATGCAAACCATCGGTTTCTCCCGTAAGTTTAGACATAAACAAACGCAGTCACTCTAAGGCTGTTTCTCTTCCTCGTGCTGCTAATGTTTTGCATCTTCAATCCTCAGGAGAGCGCGCTCTAAATGCGCCGGTTCCCCTGGGCCCAGAGATCTGTATGAAAATGTGTCATACTTGCACGAGCCAACTTGCCTCTCTTTTGACAGCTCTAGAACTTAGTGAAAGCCTGAGCGAACGTACGAAAGAGCTCAAGCGTCACCACGCTGTCCCCTGAACTCACTAGCACTTCCTTGGTTCCTGGAACTTGTGAGTCCTGTCGTGTGAAGGGTGTTACATACCTGTCTGGCTCTAACAAAGAAATCCAGAAAGGAGAAATGCTTCCCAAAGACGGTGAGACTGTGTTGAACCACCATCTGGGAACAGTGCTTGTTGGGTTCTGGCTCCGGCTGCCATTCCGCCTAAAAGCGATTCAGGAGAAGTGACTCAGTCGAGAAATGCAGGGGAAAGTACAAAGCAAGACCGATGGGGCAGAACTGTAGTTTGAGCACATTGGAGCTATTCTGAAGTTAAGGTAGAAAGGGAAGAGGCTGGTTCTATTTGTGAGGAAGCTCTGAACATATCAGCGTGGTTGGAGGGCTGAAGCCAAGGGAGTGTGAGACAGGAGAAAGGCACTCAAGCCAACCCTAGGCATGTTAGCAATAAGAAGGTGGTCAGGGAAGGTATGGATGGAGGAAGTAACCTAGTGACAAACAATGTGGGAAAAGCTGAAGCACTCGATGCTTTTTTTTGCCTTGGTTTTCACAGACAAGGTCAGCTCCCGGACTACTGCACAGGGCAGCACAGTATAGGAAAGAGCTGGGCAGCCCTGCGTGGAGAAAGACCAGGTTCAGGACTATTTAGAAAAGCTGGACATACACAGATCCACGAGTCCGGATCTAATGGATTTGGCCTATTTAGTCTGTAGAAGAGAAGAGTGAACACACAGATCCACGAGTCCAGATCTAATGGATTTGGCCTATTTAGTCTGTAGAAGAGAAGAGTGAGGGGCGATTTGACAGCAGCCTGCAACTTCCTGAGGTGGAGTTCCAGAGAGGATGGAGAGAGGCTGTTCTCAGTGGTTGCAGATGGCAGAATGAGAAGCAATGGGCTCAAGTTGCAGTGGGGGAGGTCCAGGTTGGAGATTAGGAAAAACTACTTCACTAGGCAGGTGGGGAAGCCCTGGGCTGGGTTCCCTAGGAAGGGGGTGGAATCTCCATCCCTAGAGGTTTTTAAGACTCGGCTTGACAAAGAGTTGGGGTTGGGGTTGGTGCTGCTTTGGGCAGGGGGCTGGACTCGATTACCCCTGACATCTCTACCAGCCTTGGGATTCTATGCTAAGGGTGCATGAGAGAAAAGAAAGGCAGATGTTACAGAAAACTCCAAAGCAAAGGGAAGTTTGAAGTGGCCTTGCTAGTCAGTGTGGTGACTCACACCTAAGAATCGTGTGACATTGATACTTTTACCTTCCAACAGTGCTTCACAGAATCCCACAGCTTGGAGCGGGTGTATCTCAGGTCAGTTCCACTCATGAACACAGGTCCGTGGAGAAAAGTTAGATGAGCAAAGTCTGCGGCATTTTCAGGGATTTCCTGCATGTGGAGAACACTAACTGTTACCATCCGTGCAAGTCAATTTGTTCCAAGTTAGCTGTACATTCAGACACTGGCAATGTATCTTTGCAATGTACTGCAGCAGCCAGACAGGACAGTGACAAGTCCCTGCCTCAGAGACTCTAATAAATAAAGGACAAGTTGAAACGGATGGAGGAGACACGTGTGGGTACATGACGGGGTGTCAACACAGACTAGCAGGCTGTACAGCATTTAGCTATTCGGCAGCAGTCATCACAATTCCAGATAGAATCCTAGAACTGGACGGGACCTCCAGAGTTCATCAAGTCCACAACCTCCCTAGGCAATTTATTCCAGTGTTGAACCACCCTGATGTCCAACCTAAACCTCCCTTGGTGCAGTTGAAGTCCATTGCTTCTAGTCCTGTCCTCAGAGGCCAAGGAGAACAATTTTTCTCTCTCCTCCTTGTAAAACCCTTTTAGATACTTAGAGGTAATACCTAGCTCACATGACGATGGAGTTAAGGTTACTTGTATATTAGTCATTTAGGGTAAAGACCAAGCATCATGAACCCAATGAGAGCAGAGCTAAGGTTAAGCTGAAAGAAGCACAAATATGTTAGGCTCTGAAAATGCCCTCGGCCCTGGCATGGCATCCTGGGGCGAGTCAAGCACTGCAGCACGTGTGTTCCCAGAGGAGACTTAACAATCGATTTGGGGCCACTCCTCCCCCACCGCGCGACTCCTTAGCCAAAACTTGTACCAAGCCAGTAGATGGCAGCTGTGTTCAGGCCCTCCACAGTAGCAACGGCAGCCTGGAGAGATGAGCCAAGCAAGCAGAGAGCGCAGAATTGATTTGCACTGGCAGCGCGGATGCAATTCCTCTCCCAAACTCTCCATCCCGCTTGCTCTCCTACAGGCCCATGCACGCCTGCCCCAACGCACACATTCTGCCTCCTCTTTTCCTGGGCACCCCCCGAGTTTCCTCCTCTCTGCTGAGTGGACCCCGGGAGCTCTTGGAAAGGGACGATTTGGATTAACAGTCATTCTGCTCATTCCTTTTCATCCACAGACATTTCTGCGGGCACAGGCTCGTCAAAAGTCTTCAGAGCAGCTCAAAGAATTCCCCTTCTGTGCACACGGCCACCCTGGTCTTGGTACAACAGACAGAAGCCCCCCCAACTCGTAGTGAAGATGCCCAGTTTCAAAGCAGCCACTGCTTGCCAGTGCTTCCAGCACGAATCCTGCCGGGCACCGTTTTGGGCAAGAGCATCTTGTGGGTTCGGTTCTATGTGGGATTCTACGTCGTCGAATATTTATCAGCAGCGGCTGAAGGAAAAAACCCTTTGTCATGAAGATTAGTAGCAGAAGAGTTACCAGCGATCAGACACGTCTCTTCGAATGTACGCACAAGCTTACAGTGCATGTTAACGAAGTTTAACGCATCTGTGCTATTCAGTACTTCATAAGAACAGCCAGACGGGGTCAGGCCAATGGTCCCTCCAGCCCAGCGTCCTGTCTGCCCACAGCAGACATTACAAGATGCCCCAGAGGGAGGAAACACAACAAGGAATCCTCACATGATCCCTCCCCTGTCACCCATATCCAGACACGCAGAGGCTAGGGACACCACTCCTCACTTTGGTCGTCCAGAAGAGAGACCTCTTGCAAGGAGGAGTATGTTTCTTCGAGGAGCCTTTTGTAGTCCCACGCTAAATTCGGAGTCATTTGTCAGTTCTCAAGGTGCCCTTTCAAAATTCAGAGAGAACCTGCCCTGCATGTGGGGAGCTTCTGCTGCACTCTCTGTACACAGCAAAGCTCTTGAACTCCTGCTTGAAGGCTGGAGGCCAACTAGCGCTTAACTGCCGAACGGCACAGCGGAGCCCCTGCAATAAGGGCTGTTCTTTCCATTGACTTGTCCTGGTGACCCGGCAAGAACTCGCTCCCGGTTCCAGGGGAAAAACTAGGCAGGCTGCGTGTTTGAGGGCTACAGCTCTGAGACAGGTTCTAGAAGGGTTGTATGGCCAAGTGAACTGGGCTACCTGAGAGAGGCAGCCCTTGCACCAAAGCCTCGTGTTTATTCCCAAGTGCCATTTAACGGAAGCAGAGAAATGGCCGCATCTTGCGCTGGGCTGAAATTTCTCAGAGGAGCCTGCAGGAGACGGGCTCCTATCCCCCTTGCTATTTAATTGCCTCTCTATCTTGAGTGTCTTTCAACAACTCCAGCCACCTCCACATGCACTGACTGTTACAACTGAGAGGCTGGCTCATGCATGCTAAGCAAAGCTCCTAGCAGTGTTGTACCAGAAGGGCCCAGTTGGGTGGGCCCTGACTTTGGGTGGATGGGCAAGAATGGAAGGACTGGGGGGAGCAGGACAGGAGCACCAGGGTGGAGCAGAGCAAGTCCCAGCAGTCTGGTCCCTTTCCCTGGCTAATTCACTGGGCAGGCTGGAGAGGGGTAGGCCTGGGTGCAAGGCAGGTGGGCCCAGGCCCACCTGTAGCTACGTCCCTGGCTCCTAGTGAAGTTAGTGGGCATTCAGCCTGCACTGGGCTGTAGGAGGAAACAGCTAACATGGAGCTAAGACCCTTTGTCTAGGGTTCTACCAGCTCCTCCCCTACTTGTAAGTCAAAGTCTAAGAGGGAACGTTTCAAGGTTGCAAATGACAGTGCTGTGCTAGTGACGGGCAGAGCTGGCGCCCTCCTCGGCTTTCGGGGGGGACAGTTTCCAGAGCACAAAACCCTGTGGCACAACCCAAAGTCTGACCGGACGCAGTAGAATCATAGAATCATAGAATAATAGGACTGGAAGGGACCTCGAGAGGCCATTGAGTCCAGCCCCCCGCCCTCAAGGCAGGACCAAGCTCCACCTACACCATCCCTGACAGATGTCTGTCTAACCTGTTCTTAAATATCTCCAGAGAGGGAGATTCCACCACCTCCCTTGGCAATTTATTCCAATATTTGACCACCCTGACAGTTAGGAATTTTTTCCTAATGTCCAATCTAAACCTCCCCTGCTGCACTTTAAGCCCATTACTCCTTGTCCTGTCCTCAGAAACCAAGAGAAACAAATTTTCTCCTTCCTCCTTGTGACACCCTTTTAGATATTTGAAAACCACTATCATGTCCCCCCTTAATCTTCGTTTTTCCAAACTAAACAAGCCCAGTTCACGAAGCCTGGCTTCATAGGTCATGTTCTCTAAACCTTTAATCATTCTTGTCGCTCTTCTCTGTACCCTTTCCAATTTCTCCACATCTTTCTTGAAATGTGGCGCCCAGAACTGGACACAGTACTCCAGCTGAGGCCTAACTAGTGCAGAGTAGAGCGGCAGAATGACTTCACGAGTTTTGCTTACAACACACCTGTTGATACAACCTAGAATCATATTTGCTTTTTTGGCAACAGCATCACACTGTTGACTCATATTCAACTTGTGGTCCACTATGACCCCTAGATCCCTTTCCGCCATGCTCCTTCCTAGACAGTCGCTTCCCATCTTGTATGTATGGAACTGATTGTTCCTTCCTAAGTGGAGCACTTTGCATTTCTCTTTATTAAACCTCATCCTGTTTACCTCTGACCATTTCTCTAACTTGCTAAGGTCATTTTGAATTATGTCCCTATCCTCCAAAGAAGTCGCAACCCCACCCAGTTTGGTATCATCTGCAGAAGGCTGCTACCTGAATGTGGGCACTGACAAAATGCTCGGTGTAGCCACGATAGACCCACTCCTTGGACGTGATCTCCGCCTGTTCCGGGACAGCCCACTCGGGAGCCCCGCCATCACAGTGATACCAGACAAGGATCATTCCATTCACTTCGCACGAGGGCCAGGTTTTAATCTGTGCGAAGTCCGGCACTGCGGAGAGGGAGAAGGCAGTTAGCGCAAAGCAGAGGTTGCCACATCAAACGCTGCGTCGTAGCTTCGCTGCAGCCCCCCTCCCCCGCACAAAGGGGCAGAGGAGACAGACCCTGGGGGCCCAAACAGGGTGGCTACACATTGATGGGCTTTTAAAAACGTGTCACTGAATTTTTGAAGCTTTGATTAAAATTAAATCGGAAGTTATGACACCCTATGTAAGGCTCCAGTTTGCTAAATAAAATAATTCTCCACAAGCAGCCCCCGTATCTGAAGAGCTAAGTCGTGTTCTTTTCCAATTATATACAGACTCAGACGGGGGAGAATCATTTTTCACCTGAGGTCAACTCAAACGACGTGAATAACACGTCCTTCAAAGAGTCATACGTTCCAGAAGGGACCATTGAGATCAAGTAGTTTAACCTCCTAAAGAACACGGGCCAGAGAATTGGCCCAAAATAATTCCTGACCCAAAGCTGTAAAACCGCCTGTCTGCGATGGAGAATCCAGTAGGACCCCTAGTAAACTATTCCAATGGTTCACTACAGTCACTTAAAAATGTAGGCCTCATGGCCGGTCTGATTTGTCTACGTCAGCTTTCGGTCACTGGATCATTTTTGACCTCTCTCTTCTAGAATGAGGAGTCCACTTTTGAGCACCTGTTTCCCAGGTGGATCCTGACAGACTTTAATCAAGTCATTCCTTAGCCATCTCTCTGTTAGGTCAAACAGATTAAGTTCCTTAGTCTATTGCTGAGAGGAGGCTTTCAGACACTTTACTTCTCTTGTGGCTTTTCTCTGAACCCTGGCCACGTGACCCACATCCTTCTTGAACTCTGGACACGCTATTCCAGCAGCGCCAGAGACTGAGGTAAAATACTTCTCTGCTCCTCCAGAGTTTCCCGTTTCGTCATCGAAGGATTGCATTAGCCCTTCTGGCCACAGTGCTCAGCTGAATGGGAGTGTGGGGGCGGAAGGGCAGCAGGCTGGAGGTATGGGCGGGGTGCAAGAGTGAGAGTTGGGGGGTTAGGATGGGCTCAGGGCAGGGGGGGGTCCTATCCGGCAGGGCTTGCTTTCCTCCCGGCCTCCAGGGGCCTTCTGCCTATCACCCTACTCCCCTGGCTGCCAAGAGCCTTCTGCTACCCTCCAGCCTGTGTGGCCCCAGGGGCCTCCCCCTCCCACTCTGGTACTGCAGCCAAAGGCCAGGAGGAAAGGGTTCAGAGCAGCGGAGCTATTTACCCAGTCTGGTAGCAGGCAAGATAGTGGAGCCCCACCGTGCTGGACACTCCCTTGGTGGGGCAACTGCCCCCAAGTGGCCACTCTCATATTGCACTCGCTGTCCCCTCCCTTTCCATGTTATGGAAAACAGTCCTGTTCCTGGCACTTCCCGTTTTCTTGGCACAACCAAACCCGGACCTTGCTTTCAATTAGGAGAAGAGGAAGCTGCCTCCCGAATTTGCTAGTCCTAGCTCTTACCGTTTAGGGGGAGTTCTGGAACAGACAAGACTCACAGAGGGACAGACAGACATTTCTAAAACACACAGATCGATATGGAGACCTGTCCATGGTGATGTTTCCGGAATGTTCTGTATAAGGACAGGGCACTACCACTGCCACGAGGGCTTGGTTGCAGTTGTGGGGAGGGGAAGAGAATCACCTTTTTCAGCGTATGGGATTGTAGTGCATTTTCCATCTTAGCTTGGTTGCAGTCGTGGGGAGGGGAAGAGAATCACCTTTATCAGTGTATGGGATTGTAGTGCATTTTCCATCTTCTCCCCGGAACTGCCATCCATGAAACGGGCACTCGATACAGTCACCCACCACGCGGCCACCAACCGCCAGGTTAGCGCCCAGGTGTGGGCAATAGGCATCGACGACATGCGCTCGTCCATCCATAGCCCGGAATACAGCCACCTGCTCCCCTGCACAGAGAGGTACAAAGACGCAGAGTTAGGCTGGGAACGGGGATCTCGTTTGCAGGGTGTGGTCAATACGCCAGTCGCTGTGTCCCTTGCAATACTTTCAGAACTGTCAAGTGTCCTCTGCAGGAGTTGACGCAGGAGGTGGAACACATCAGGGCATCAAAATGGTACGTACCTTATATCAGGCATTCGTTTGTACACTCTACCGATCTGTAGACATTGTTAGCTTCAGCATTGCTAATATTATGCAGATTCACTGTAAACTGTGCTATGATAGTGGAGAAAAGTTAATAAAGGATTAAATTGCAATGCTGGCCTGGTCTCCTAATCCTGAAATGACCATTTTGATGTGGGGACGGAAAGGTGAGCTCTGATTCTCTGGACAGGTGAGCTCTTATAGGTCAAGAGGGCCAATCATGCAGTCTGTCTTATCTCCTGGGATACTTCTTGGGAAGCCTTGCTTGTAGCCCAGGCTGGATGCCCTGATGTGTTCCACCTCCTGCATCAACTCAGGAGTCCCCAAATCAAGGGAATTCCCAGTTTGGCATAAGCCACAGAAACAAGCCCTAGTAGATCTAATTCCTGAGAAGCAGTTCCTTCAAGCTATCGTGACTTAAAAGCTGGTTTTAAAACATAGCTACATATTTGTAAAAAGTTTCTAAAGAAAGGCAATTGTTGTGTTCTGCTTCAATGGACTTTTATTCAATGAAAATGAAAAAAAAAAGAGGGGGGGCCAAGAAAGTATTATCATTTTTAAAAGATAAGTTTTTAACTAATCACGGCCTTTCACATTTATATGCTCTTTTGCACTCAAGGAAGATGTATGATACATTGTAAACAAGATTTTGATCAAGTCTGGTTGGAATTGGCCATGGCGGTCATACATCAGATGGACTGTATTGTGGTCGTTGTCTTCTATCGGAGTAAGAGATGGGGCAAGAAGCAAATACTTGACTGTTCCGCCAGTGGCTTTGGCCAGTCTCGTTTTAAGACGTACTAGTCCAGGGGATCATGCTGCTTGCCAGGGAAGATCAATACAAGATCAAATACAGCTCCCATTTAATCGCAAATACCCAGTCCTGGGTTTACAAAAGTGAAGGGCTTATTGGGGAGGGAAGCGGGCTGGGGTGGGGAAGAGAGAGACAGGGTAGTAACGTCTGATTGGGAAGAGGGGAGGTTTGTTTTAAAGACCAAAACCTGGAAAGGCATTCCCCTTGCAGTGTGGCCACTGGTTTAGAGTGAGGACCGAATTAAATGGGGAAGCAGGTGTGCGTGTGGCACAACCGAGGGGGTCTTAGACCCTCCCAGGAGAGAGCACGGGGGGGCAACCCTGTAAATACCGTTATGAGGATCTGGCATTGGTGAGCATGGAAGGTTGTGTGCGCCTGTCCCAGAAGCCACAGAACACAAAGGAGAGAGGATTCAGGGTGTGCTGTTTGGCCACAAGATGGCACCACGCTGCAGCCCGACTCGAGAGGCTGACGAGGATGCCGATCTGGCTGGATCTTTGTCAGAGGGGAAAGGATCCTAGTTCCCAGCAGACTGTGGCCAGAAGGTGTTTGTCCAGGATTAGGGCAGGCCTGCGAAAGGTGTGAAAGTCCCCCCCTCCCCATGGTCTTCCAAGTACGCATGCTCTGGCTGGCCAGGGGAAGGCTGGGGCTGATTTCCCCCTACTCAGGGAACCATGGGGAGGGGGGTGCATTCACACTCTTGCGGTCCACATTTACAGGACCATGGGGGGGGGTGCATTCACACCCTAGTGGTCCACATTTACAAAAAAAACCACCCTTCCCCCTCCCCCAGAAATTCCTGCCTATGGGCCTGAGGAGTGAGTCCCATACCCTTCCCTGAGATGCGTGTCAAGGGCATCCCGCCCTCTGCTCAATTGCTAGAGAAGGAAGGGGTCTCAGCTAACTCCTCTAATCCAGGGGAGCCCATCCCGCTCAACGCAGACCCTTCCGCGGCCCGCCAGCCAACCCCCGATGATGACAAAATGGGTGCAGGAGGAGGAAGGAGTGCAAGGTCTGGACAGGAGGGAGGGTGCAGGAGCAGGCTGGGAGTGGAGGGTCTCGGTGGGAGTGGTGTGTGTGATGGAGATGGGGGTCAGAGTCTGGGCCTGAGAGGGATGGGAGACATTTACCTGGCTCTCATTGGCTGGGATTCTGGCCAATGGGAGCAGCAGGGGAAATCTTCAGGTGAGTGGTTTCCAGGCACAGCCATTCCCTCAGTCGGGGGGAGGGGGAGCAGAGGTATGGGGAGCCACTTCCTGCCCCCACGAGCCAGATCCAGCCCGCGAGGCTCCGGGCTCCCCTCTGCATGGGGAGCCTGGCGCTTACATCCAACCTCATAGGGGGCTGCCGGGCAGAAGCGCCAGTGCAGGCTCACCCTGCGGGGATGCGGGCGAAGCCCCCAGCCCACCGCCAAGATGATCGTGGACCACTAGTGGTCCGTGGCTCACACTTTGAGAACCGCTGCTCCAGCAGCCTCTCTTCCCAGCCCCATTATTCCAGTCTAAGCCTGCAGCACAGGTGTCTTTCCAGTATTGTGACAGCATCGGCTCAGGCAGCAGCATCCTCGTAGTAGTGGGCACTGGGCAGTCAAGACAGGGTCATCACCGCCTCTTGGAGAGGCCTTGGATATTGCAGAGGGATTGGTGACACCAGCAGGGGCGGCTCGTCCATTTAGGCGAACTAGGCGGTTGCCTCGGGCACCAAGTTAAATGGGGCACCAAATGTTGGCGCAATATCGAGGGGTTTGGAGGTGGGGGCGCCGATTGCATGGTTTGCCTAGGGCATCAGTTGCTGGCAGCTAGTCTAGGACCGCCCCTGGACACCAGAGCTGAGCCCTGGAGGGCTTGTACGTGGCCCAAGGCAAAACGAAACACTGGAAAGCACCCGCTGGCCAAAACAGACGCCAGCACCTGGCCCGTGCCCCCATCAACCCACCTCTCAGGCTTCTACAGCTGTGAATTGGGCATGTTACTTTTTTCTAGAGATTTAGCACCTCGATAGCATCCGTGTGCGGTTCTGCAGTATCTCCCTGAGCCAAGTGAGCATGATCAGCCCCTGCACGCACAGGCCGACTGACCCAGAAGTCCCCGAGTTGCCGAGGGGCCCTGCGGATTAGCCTTGCTAGATCATCTCGGGCAAGTCCCATAACTCCCATTCCTGAGAACCGCCTCGGGAGCGAGTGGCTAACAAACACGTACCCAAGGGCAGAATTATTTGCCAAACTTGTCAGGGGGAGCTTCCAAGAGCTAACTCAGCAGCAGCTGTCAAAGGCAATCGATGCAGATAACATCTAACTAGCACCTACTGGTAGTTGAATTTTAAATGGATTAAAAAATGTCTCCCTGCCTGATGGGAAAACTCTGCCTACTCCATGCCCATTCATGAGGGCATGCTCCAGAGCAAGCTGATCCTACATTTGTTGGAGAGATTTTTATAACATCAGGTGAAGAGCCATTTTCTCGAAGAGAAAGAAAACAACACCCAGCCCCGTTATGCTCAGCTACTGAAGTCAGGTTTACACGAGACCCAGCAGCTCGGCATAGGGTATGCAGCTCCAACAATGTAGAATACGTAGCTGCAGTGGGCTTACCTTCAGCCACGCTGAGCGGCATCCACACAGAGGTAAGCCAATGGGAGCAAACGTGCAGTAGCAGTACTGACTACTGGTGGGGGCACCCTCTGAGTTTAATTTAGCGTGTCTTTACTCGGGAGCAAGTGGCTAACAAACACGTACGCAAGGGCGGAATTATTTGCCAAACTTGTCAGGGGGAGCTTCCAAGAGCTAACTCAGCAGCAGCTGTCAAAGGCAATCGATGCAGATAACATCTAACTAGCACCTACTGGTAGTTGAATTTTAAATGGATTAAAAAATGTCTCCCTGCCTGATGGGAAAACTCTGCCTACTCCATGCCCATTCATGAGGGCATGCTCCAGAGCAAGCTGATCCTACATTTGTTGGAGAGATTTTTATAACATCAGGTGAAGAGCCATTTTCTCGAAGAGAAAGAAAACAACACCCAGCCCCGTTATGCTCAGCTACTGAGGTCAGGTTTACACGAGACCCAGCAGCTCGGCATAGGGTATGCAGCTCCAACAATGTAGAATACGTAGCTGCAGTGGGCTTACCTTCAGCCACGCTGAGCGGCATCCACACAGAGGTAAGCCAATGGGAGCAAACGTGCAGTAGCAGTACTGACTACTGGTGGGGGCACCCTCTGAGTTTAATTTAGCGTGTCTTTACTAGACTCGCTAAATTCCACAGTGAAGACAAGGCCTCCGAGTTGCTTCCAGAAACTGCCAGAGTTTTATATTGGGATGGTGCGACATTTGCCAAAACACTGCAGCCTTTTCTCCAGTTGCATGTTTACTTCTTTGGATTGCTAAAGAGCTACTGAAATTATATAACCCACAGTTTGCGTGCCCAGGTGTAGGAGATCAACCAAGCATGCTAATGAGGATGCCTGCCTAAATGTTGTGCCTACAGCAACTGAAAGTGTGTCAAAAATAAGTCTGGCACTAAGTCAAACAGCTGCTCTGATAGAGACATCAGCATGCCTGACACCACGAGGCAATCAGAGAGTACGTATGCCAGCTAGCTGTTGGGCTCGGGGGTAATCAGATGCTGAACACAGCCCCGGGACCAGCTTTAGAAGCAAGCCTAGATCTTTGACCAAGACGGAGAAAGACTTAGCAAAGGGAGAATCCAACCCGGCTACTCAGGACGCAGAGGCGGGCAGTGACCACTACATGCCACAGGCAGCAGAGTAGCATGCGGCTACCGGGAAGAATTATGGAGACTGAAAGCTTCCTACCTGTACAGCTGGGCTACTCAACGCAAGGCCTGTGGGCCGCATGTAAACTGCAGCCTGTTTGATTGTGGCACCTAGTGCAGTTTGGGTTGACACAGAGCTCAACACATGGCCCACAGGTGGGAGTCAAAACAAACAAGTACTCAATATGATGGTCTCCTGTTGAGATGCGTTTTAGTAG